CCAGAGTGGCCACCAGGGAAACCTGGGGAGGGCTAGCCTCCCACTAGTTCGAATTAAGGGGCTACACACCCCTTAATTCGAACTAGCTAGTTCGAACTATGCTTAATCCTCGTAAAATGAGGTTTTCCTAGTTCGAACTAAGCGCTCCGCTAGTTTGAATTAAATTTGAACTAACGGAGCACTGGAGGGCTAGCCTCCCACTAGTTCGAATTAAGGGGCTACACAGCCCTTAATTTGAACTAGCTAGTTCGAACTAGGCTTAATCCTCGTAAAATGAGGTTTTCCTAGTTCGAACTAAGCGCTCCGCTAGTTTGAATTAAATTTGAACTAACGGAGCGCTAGTGTAGCGCCGATCAAAGTTAGTTCGAACTAACGTCCGTTAGTTCGAACTTTGTATTGTAGACATACCCTAAGAGACCCAGACCCAGTAGCCCCTCAGGGGATGACCTAGCAAACCCTTGCTCAGCTGGGTCATGAAGGTCCTGGCCTGAGCGTGGCACCCACGAAGGCAGGTCCTTGTGCCTCACAGCTGCTGGGGGACACAGACTCACTTGAGCCCATGCCCATGGCCCAGCCCTGGCAGGCATCTCTGCTGCCTCCCTCAGGACTATACAGATGCCCGCTAGGATCCCTCTGCTACCCCAATATACAGTCAGCCCACACACTCCTTTTGGGGGCACTGGAGTTGGAGGTTTGATACTGGGGGGGAGGGGGTGGCCATTCTGGGCCGTTGGCAGGGGGAGGCTGGGTCAGACAGGTAGTGGGGGTTACCCCTCCCCTGGAAGTGCAGTGGGGACAGATGTCCCAGCCCTCCCACAGAGTGCAGGGTCTGTGGGCAGTCATGTCCCCCCCACTCTGGACAGCTGGCAGGGTTCTGGGGCAAGATGAGGCCAAGAGGCACTCTGTGGGGTGGGTATGATTCCAAATGAGGGCTGTCAGATGGGGAGGGGCAGTGGGATGGAAGTTGCGGGAGCAGGATTAAGTGCAGCCCTGCGGAAGCTGGGGGCAGCAGGATGAAGTCAATAGCCTGTGGAGAGCTCTAGAGCTGTGGGGCACAACCGAGGGTTGTGGGGGTAGAGAGCACAGTCCTGGAGCACCTGCCGGGGGAGGGGGGAGGGGCAGTACAGAACCCATCTGTGATTTCCAGTGGTAGCTCCACATAAAGAAAGGCTGAGAATGAGGGCATGAGAAGGGGGCCTTGCTGGAACTGCCCTGAACTGTGCCTCCTCCCCCCAGTAACCCCCCGACCTCATAACCCCTCACATGGACTGCACAGCCTGGAGGCTCAAGTTATTTATTGAATCATCTAACAAACTGGGGGGGGAGGGGGGCTCCCAAGACTGCTGGGGTGGGCAGGCACGTCAGGGGCTCCCTAGGGGCTGGGTTCAGGGGGCCCCTTCTCATCATCGGGGGGGCAGTCAATGAAGTCAGCCAGCATGGTCGCCGTCTCATCCACTTCTGCCTGTTGGGAGAGCGGGGAAGATCATTTAGGAGCCCTCACCCTAGGATCAGCCCCACCTCCCCCTACAAGTCTCTACCCATTAGGGATGTTAAAATTAAATTAATCAGCTAATCAAACAGTCAATGGGATTTCTATGGACTATTCAATTAGTCGATAAGGGCGCCTCTGCTTTGAAATGTAGCAAGAGCTGCCCGCTGGCCCTGGCCTTCACGCTGCATTTCAAGCTCTTATACATTTCAAAGTGGACGCACCGCTGGCCCCCACATTTCAAAGCCGAAAGTGCTGCGCCTTTGACATGTACAAGTCTTATGCATTTCAAAGAGTGAAATGCTGCATGGAGCCCCAGGCTCCATGCTGCGCTTCCACTTTGAAATGTACAAGAGCCCCAGCAGAGCTGAAGCAGGGGGGATTGGCTTTTAAGCCAGCTCCCCCCAGCACCCTCCTCCTCCCCCGTCTTTCTGATAGATGCAGCAAGAGGTGGGGAAATGACCAGTCGATTAGTCGCTTACATCCCTACGACCCATATCTTTCCACTCCACACCAGGATCTCTGCACCGTAGCCCCTGCTCCCCGCCTCCCCCAGGGCCTCAAACCTTAACCTCCTCCCGCCAACCTCACCTCTTCCTTCCCAGCCACAGCCAGCTGCTCCTGCTCAAGACTGGGCTGGGTCTCCTGGCCACCCTCCAGCCCCTCGCCAGCACCATCTCCTTGCTCCATGCCAGGGGACATTCCTTCTTCTCTTGAGAGCTGCTCTGCCTCCAGAACTGGGGGCGGGTCATCCAGCAGTGGTGGCTCCTCCCCCATTTCCTCCTGGCAAGGAGGAGGGGCCGGGAGGGGGCTGGCCCTTGGGGGTGGAGTAGGTGGAGCAAGTGGCAGTTCCTTCCCCTCCTCCTGCTGCAGCTGGGAGGCTGGTGGGGAGCTAGCCTTCATCACCATCACCTCCTCCTCTTCCTCCTCCTCCTCCTCCTCAGGAGGTGGCAGCTCAGCTGCCTGGCTCTCCTCCACCTCCATGATAAGGTCATCTGGTTCCCTGGGGGCCTCCGGCAGCTCCTGGGCAGCAGGGGGTGGCTGCTCCTCCTCTGAAAGGGCCCCCTCCTCCTCCTCTTCATCTTCGGACAGGCCTTCCTCCTCCTCCTCCTCCTCGTACTCCTCCTCTTCTTCCAGCTCTTCCTCCTCCTCAAACTCTTCCTCCTCCTCTTCCTCAAAGTCCTCGTCCTCCTCATCAAAATACTCCTCTTCCTCCTCCTCCTCCTCTTCCTCCTCCTCCTCGGGGAATTCCTCCTCCTCCTCCTCCTCTTCACTGCTGTTGATGTTGATCACAGCTGGGTTCTCCTCCCCCAGGCTGGGGGCTGCCTCAGTGCTGGGGAGTGGGAGTGGGAGTGGCG